GTTTATAAGGCACAGGTACAGTCATGGATGTTGTTTATAAGGCACAGGTACAGCCATGGATGTTGTTTATAAGGCACAGGTACAGTCATGGATGTTGTTTATAAGCACTGGTACAGTCATGGATGTAGAATAAAGTGTGTGTACTGGACAGGTACAGTTATGGATGTTGTCAATCAGACACCGGTACAGTCATGGTGTAAAATTTCTAGAGTTGTCTGGACAGTACAGCAGAATCTTAGAAAGGTGGATCTAATAAAAATGTTTACTTATACAAATATTTTCTTCGAATGTTATCGATAATTATAGCATTAATTTCCTTTAATATGATCAATTATTTTAATACCATACCCTACATATTTTAGGTATCACACCACGGTTATCGACCAGTCAAGATGTTAATTGTTCAATGCATATAAAATTAATTTTTATTTCTTTTGAGAATTTATTAATTTTTTTTTTTTTTTTTTGGGGGGGGGGGGTTTCTTCCAGCCTATTTTTACAACTTTGATACCTGTGCCTAGTAAATTTTATGTACTTTGTAAATAAATAAAGGTTTTTTTGTCAGGAACTATTCTTTTTCATGCAGGGCATAGGAGGCTACTTCCTGGGGTGCACTTGAGATGTTTATATATAACACATTGAAAACGCGTGGATCAGCCCATTCCACCCGTATATATCGTAAGTCATATATTTATGGGAAAAAATCTGTGTTTTTCATTGACACCACTTGCGTGATTAATGAAATGGGTAAAATTAATAATATTGTGACGTACTTATACTTTCTAACATAAAATTAAGGATTACAAATTAATTCCAATATTTATTTTAATTTCCTTTTTTATTTTACTTTGTTTATTGTTTACTCATATATTTTCTATAATTATACTAGCATGTTTCATTTTAAATTCATCATTATTATTGAGCACGTAGGATATTGAAATCATGCACCCAGCCCCCCCCCTCCCCCCCCCCCAAAAAAAAAAAAATTAAAGACCTGGCTCATATTGTACTCTGAACATGAAGCTTTAAACTTAAATCTGTAAAAGTTTTGGATCCTTCCCTAATCACTGCTGACATCGTTTGTCTCGGTATCACTGTCATGGGTAATATAAAGATTAGCGTTAAGGATGGATTCTTCTCATATTTCTTATAATGGCAGAATCTTGATTTTCTGAATACTCAATATTCAGACTGTTTACACTATTTTAACATCCAAAAACTTTGGTGTCATCGGCCTTGATTTTCAGTCAAGGTCATTTGAAAGTTAGTCCTAAAAATAGTACTTTTACACAGAGAAGTTTTGAAATTTATGCATATAAGTAAATTTTGCTGACTGAAAAATATCTTTCACCATAAAATTAAAGTTGTTACTTATTGTTGATGCCTAATTCATATGAAATGAGCTGGTGAAAAGATAACATGAAATCCTTTATATTCAATAAATACATTTAATCCGAATTTCCTCGATATTTTTTCAAAATTCTCAGTTTACATGAATTCACATGAAATTTCATCTCAATTTTTACAATTGACCATATAATGTCAAATATTTAGATTTTTGTCTGATAAATATTCAAAGGTTCAAGATTAATTTACAAGGTAAAAAAGATATAGTAATCAGGCAAATTATTGAAAAAAATTAGCCCGAATTTGCTCTATACTTTCTGAAATCTTCAATTTACAGAGTGTTTTAAATGTCCATAAGAAAGATTTTTAATCCCCAAAAATATATCAATTTGGTGTAATTGTGACATAAATACATTCATTTCTACCAGTTATATATTCTATTTTTATGGTATTTTACACTAATGATATTCAAAATATTCATTTCGAATTTCCTCTGTCATTTTATTCTTATGAATGTTATGTTTGACAATTTTATAAAATACATCAATTTTCTAGTGGCAATTACAGAAAAATTATCGCATACATTCTTCACATGCACAGGACTAATTCAAAGCAACTTCACCTTCAATATAACTAGGAATAAATAATAAACCTTCCAAAAAGTTATGAGAAAAATCATACATAAAATTTTCATAGACTAGAAAAGATTTCAATACATTATTTATGACATAAACATGAAATCAATATACATGTATAGTGAACATACCATTCAATGCTTAATATATGAATATCAGAGGGACTAATATATATGCCTATACATATATATGTAGTTATATTCATATAGGTCCCTGGTATTATGTTATTATTGGATATTTTACATTTGTAAACTGAGTTTTGAAAACAACAAGCAAATTCAAAAAATGGTGGTCCCCCGCTTTCGATGTCTTAGTGGATGGGATGCCATTATTTATGGCATATTGTAATTGTCTTGTTTGTTTGTCCTGTCTTATCTGTGCATCATACAAAAAGACATAAATTATTGAATTAATAACAGTTATGGCAAAGACTATAGCTTCTCAAAACTACAACAAACTTCAAAATCAAGGTCATGAGGTCAAATATCATAATAAAATCCAAAAGATCTTCTCACAAGTGATGCACATGTAAAAAAAAATATCAGAAACCAGAGTATACAATCAGAAAGGTCTTGAAACAGGTAATGCACATGTCAGATGTAAATACCATATCTTCTGTCAATCAAACGTTATTAGCAATGATAAACTTTAAAAATTAGGTCAAACTTCAAGGTCATGGGATTAAAAATCATAGTACATTTGGAAATGCTTGTCACGGGTAAAGCACTTGTCAAATATGAATGCCCTATCTTTGCTCCTTCAAAAGTTAGCAAACTGATGAAATGTTTGAATATTAGGTCAAACTGGAAGGTCAAGGTCACGGAGTCAAATATAATAGCATATTCCGAAACATTTTGACACAGGTAACGCACTTGTCAAATATGAATACCATATCATATGTCATTCAAAAGTAATCACCAAATACAAAATTTTTGAAATTTAGGTCAAACATGAAGGGTCGCCCGCGTGGCGCAGTGGTTACAGCGTCTGCTCTGCAGTCGCGAAGTAAGGAGTTGATCCTTACGTCCCAGGTTCGAATCCCACTGTGGGACGTGGAGACCGGTCCTTCGGATGAGACCGTATAAACCGAGGTCCCGTGTCGCAGTAAGTGCTGGCACGAAAAAGATCCCTCACTGCTCAATGGCCATAAGTGCCGAGCATAGGACAAAATTTGCAGCTCTCCACCGGCAAGTGGTGGCGTCTCCATATGAGTGAAAAATTCTTGAGAGGGACGTTAAACAGCATACAAGCAAACAAACAAACATGAAGGTCAAGGTAAGGGGGTAAAAAATTAAAGCATGCTCCGAAACACTTTCTCACTACTAATGCACAGGTCAACTGTGAAAGCCCTAACCATTCTAAATCAAAAGTTATAAGCAAAGATAAAAATTTTGAAAAGTAGGTCAAACTTCAAGGTAATGGTCATGGGGTCAAAAGTCATAGTACATTTGGAAAGGTATTCTTACAGGTAATGTTCATATTTAATACGAGAGCCCTATCTTTTCTCATTTAAATTTAATGACCAATTTAAAGAAATGTTAATTTTTTGAAAAGTAGGTCAAACTTCAAGATCAAGGTCACGGGGTCAAAAGTCATAGTATAATTTCGAAAGGATTTGTCACAGGTAATGAACAGGCATAATATGAAAGTCCTATCTTTTCTCATTCAAAAGTAATGACCAATTTAAGGTAATGTTAATTTTTTTGAAAAGTAGGTCAAACTTCAGGGCCAAGGCCACGGGATCAAAATTTACAGTATATTTGGAAAGGTCTTGTTACAGGTAATATACATGTGAAATACAAAAGCCCAATCTCTTCTCACTCAAAAGTTATGGCCAAGGTTAAAGTTTTTGTGACAGACATACCGACAGACGAGTGGGATTTAATGTCCCCTCTCTTTCGCGAAAGCGAGAGACAATAAATACCTACACACATTTATAAGTATATAGTTTGTTCAGCACCAATAAATATAACTCCTCAATGTGATCATATATTGCGTTAAATTTGTGGAGTTTTAAGATAACAAAAAAGCCATCTATGACAATCAAATGCCCTTTGACATCTTTGCCTGAATAAGACATCCTTGAACTTTGTAACAATAATATGCATGCAGCTATCAAACTTAATTTCACATTTAGATGCAAAATACTTATTCAAGGATGAATTTCTTTTTGAGAATTTGTAGCTCAAACATTTATTGATCAGTGTCAATAACTTGTATTGAAATTGAATTAAAAATTACCTCTTGAGGGTTTCTACTGCAAGTACATGTATATGTAGTTCATTTGTAAAAATCTAAATTTTAACCCGGCCGCTACCACCAATTTTGTTCGGCATGCTCTTGCTTAAAATCACCCTTTAACTAAATGATCCAAAGCAGGCACATTTTTTGGTATTCCAGAACTGTATTTTAAGATTTTAACTGTATTTGAAAATGTAAAGCAACTGAATACATAGAGCTAGGTATATACCATTTACAAGTTGTTGTGGTGCCAGTACATATAAATCTTCACATTGTAATCTAATGAAAGATAATGCTTGAAAAATTCACTCTGGGAGTAAGATTTCAAATCTGAATCAAAGATTTTGTAAAGTAATCACATTCTACAAAGCATGCACTGTATCGGGTACTTGGGAATCAAATAATTAAACATTATATAATTATAAATAAAACTATTTTTGACTGAAAGTTTCTAAAAAAAAAAAATCAAGAATGGAATCATGCAACAAGCAGCAGTGACATGCATTGACTTCCACATTTCTACAAAAACATTTCTTTGATCAGATAAATATGTAATTCCTGCTTCTGACATGATATATTCTGAGAAAATCTCTTTTCCACAGACAGCCATCATTCATTTGATGTGAGAATTTCTTGCTGAACATGTGTCCACCTGGTGAAAGTCCAAATCTTTTGTTGACCTATAATTTAAAAAAAAGTAATATATTTTACATAGCAGCACAGATGCTGCATTATATGATAGTTAGATAAAGTTGTGTCCATATTTCTTATACATGTACCTCAATAGTCCATCTGCCAGCACTCCTTGCTCAATCATCCTGCATTCTGACCTCCAGTCTTTTTTCTAGTCTAGGGTAAAGTAGGGTTGTTTTTCTCCTAAGAATTAAACATGAACATCCCTTAGACTATTTTTTTAAATTCATGGAAATTGATTATAAGATTAAAAAACTTATCTAATCTTTATTTCATTTATTGATTTAAATGAATGAAAATATTTTAATAGATTCTACCACATGCAATATGTCTTATATTATAGTGTATTGGATATAAATTTATCCTAAAAGTACAGAAAAGTAAAAAAAAAAAAAATAATATAAATAGTTTTTTAACAATAATGTTTCATTTTGCTCTATTTATTAGACAATTGTGTGTTTCAATATTATGGATATTTCCACGTACAATATCAAGTTATTTTTCCGTTTGATTTGTACCCAAGCGGAACACCTTACTTTTCTAATAACTTGATGATTGTTCTGTCTTGAACAAAGTAGGCTAATTAAAAATATAAAATTTGTTGTAATCATATACAAAAAATGCTATTTTTGTGAATTATTATTCCTAAACCTGACGAACACACGAAATATATCCTCTTCAAATGTTGACAAGTCGCGGGAATAAGCAGACGAAATATTGATAACAGGACTTTAATTTCCGTGCGAATTCCCATAAATCAATACAAACCAGCATGTAATTGAATTCAATTTCAAAATTATAAAAATCTTCAGACATATATAACTAACTTACATGCTCACTGCACGACATGACATCAGACGAGGCAACGTGGATCTGCAATCTTGCACATGTTTGTGACCTTCAAGTTCAAGCTTCCCTTTTGGCTGATTGGAATTTCCCGGGCATAAACAATTATGAATTAATTATTCATAACTGTCCCTGGGCTTCTGCAATGCTTCGATAATGTTCACAGTTTGTAGATTTTACAAAACAACCCTCTCGGGTTTTCTACGGAAAATGATCTGGACATGTTGACATTCGCTAGGCCTACCGAACTGCGAATATTATGGCGATTGTCGCAAATCAAAGAAAATATTACGATAAATTTATTAATTTCAAAAGAAATAGATTCAACATTACTTAAACTGACAAATTTACTAATAGTTTTTCCTTCAGTATAATTAAATATGAATTTTTGCATTTTACGACTTGCATCATTTATGGAGACCCATTGACGACGTAAAATGCTGACAAGAATCCATCCTTAATTGCGCTTTGATTGAATTCAGTCTAAATCTAAATCGGAGAAAATCCACAGAATTTTTTGTTGTGGATGTTATTAATCAAGCGCCGGTTGAGTCAGTGGTAGTGTGTATGTACGGCACAGGTACAGTCGCAGATGTTGTATATCAGGCACAGGATACAGTCATAGATATACAAAATGTACGCTGCAGTAAATGTTACTTTTTAGAGATTATAGCGATCCATGGAATGGATTGAGGCATAGTCAAGCTTGCATATATTTTCCGCGATATATTCACTAAGCTAGTTATCGTTACCGTTTTGGCGATTACAGCCTTCCATAAAGTAGTTTTATTTAAAATCAGAAATTTTCTTTCCTCCATATTAACACATTTCGTATTTTTCATTAAAAAACAATCCATACTTAATTAACAACATATACATGTAGTTTAATACGTTGAACAATCCGGAAAATCTTGCTCTGACATTCCGTTTTTGATATAAGTGAGCAGGTACAGTCATGGCATTGCCGAGTACAGTTGCGGATGATAGCTGACAGCCACTGTTGATAATGACCCCCGGTCATTATTCAACGGCGAAAAATGACCCCCGGTCATTATTCGACATCGAAAAATGACCCTTTTGCCCGTAGAAAAAGTGTCATCACCCTAAAAATCTGCATACCCTACGTAAAGAAAAATGATCCCCGTGGAATAATGACTCCTTGTGAATTAAAGGTGAAATTTTTAGGGGGCAAAAAACCCAATAAATCAAGAGACCTGTTGGCCAAAATCCTCATCTGATCTAAATAAATGGGAATAAATCGATGATATGTTGATCTCATTACATTATACAATTGTTGCTGTTTTTAAGGTCAATGCGATGATTCAGAATCTATAGAGGAGTAAAAGATTTATCGAGCCCAAAAGGCGAGGTGAACATTGTTTTTCGATGGTGTAAAATCATGGTACTGACAGAAAAAAAACCCGGAATAGTTGTTTTATTATATGATTCAACGATTAAATTGATACAAACTGATTAAGCAGACATGTCAAGTTTCTTGTTCACATTTGCGCAAGACCTAGCCAATCACAGTAAGAGAATCAGAGTTAACAAAGCAAAACCAATACTAATTTGCATTTGAAATCTATTATTTGTGCAATGTAGATAATATAAATGTCAGAAATAGCGTCGAAAGTGGAAAAGGGGTATTATCAGAGGCAAAAATGACAAGTTACCTTAGAAATATCATTGATGAACCCCTCGAAAATTTTAATGTTGTATGGGAGATTTCCTTTTACTCTGACTACTGAATCAAAAAAGTTGGGGGTAGGGCAACCAGACTTGCAATGAACATTTTCAAGTTAAAAAATAAAAATTTACGCTCATGAAAATGGTATGGGGGAGACACCCCACCTCACCCCTGATTCTACGCGCTGGGTTAGGGTCAGGGACTGTTAAGTTGACCTTGTCCACTCAAGTAGGAGAGATTTATTTAACTATACTGAATAAAAAAGAGGGGGTGGTTACAAGACTTTCAATGAACATAGAAATTGCTAAAATTTACATTAGAAAAAAGCGGGGGGATGGGGTCAATCTCTCTCCCTTCTCCGATTCTTTGTGCCTGAATATTATGTTCACTTGAGTGGAATTCGGATGCAGGTGAAATAACTTTTTCAGAATTGTTTTCAATCTATTTTAAGTTCAATGTAGGAAATTAAATCCTTATGTTCACCTGGAAGGTCAATAAAATAAAATGGTCTCTCTTTATTGATAAATTGAAAACATTAATCTACTTCAATATATACTGTATTGAAATGTTTCCATATTGATTTGACAAATGTATCACTGTTTTAAAGTTGATTTTTAAAGAAAATTATTCCTCTTACATGTATGTATCCTATTCTCAGACGACCATGTTAAGACTTGAATGTACCTTATACTGGGATTCTTCTTTATTACTTCTATATATTTGAAAAGAAATTCCCATAGACCACTGTCTATAAATAAAATTGAATGCACATTATACGACTGTATATATTTCAGACATGCAGAAATTTTATGTTCTTCTTATGTTTGCTACATCTGCTTCATATTTGGACGTTCTACTGACTATAGACGATATAGACCAACATACAACTAAATTGTTTGACATACGGATTGACTTAAGCTTTTTCCATCGTGAACTTTGGTTATTTATGTAGTAATATTTCGCTATCATTTGCAAATGATGTTTACGTCAACCAACTTATTTGATACCCAAGAACACGATTAATTTTTAAATCGAGACAGGCTACTAACAGATACATATAAGTTGATGTTACAGGGGTTTCAACAACCTCGTTTAAAGTCAGCATTTTGTAAATCTAATGGTGGTATCAATGACCCTGTCAACAAATATAACCTATAATCAGGTCAATTGTTTGGCCTTTTTTATACTAAACTCGAAAATCCCGTTTACCTGATTGGGTTCACGGTGGGTGTTACGGGTCAACAGAGGATGCTTACTCTTTCTAGGCACCTGATCCCACCTCTTCAATTTTCAGGGGTCCTTTTTTATGCCCTGTCAACAGAATTGTATTGTTTGAGGATATTTTAAAATCATCACTGTTCGTTATCTTCACCTTTTTTTCATTAGGAAATATATCCACAGTATGTTGTTCGCACAAGATATTATGTCGTTTGCGATACATTCTACCTCATTTGCACGACTTTTTTATGTCATTCAAAATTTATATATAAATATTACATTGCATAACTTTCCATTTTTATTTCCGAAAACTTATTCATCTTTTTTTTCATTCACTTTTTTAAAAAAAAGTTGTTCGTACTCAAAGTATGCTGAATACTTTGGGAGACATGTTTACCATTGAAAAGCCTGAACATCCCGCTTGTCTGTTATTTAGCTATGAATGTCTACAGTTAGTCCAATATCCAAATATAAAGCAAATGGAAGACAGTCATAAAGGGATATTACGTTAAGAGTTATAACGGAGTTTGACCAGGATTTTTTTTTTTACATTTTTTTTTAAAAAATCAAGCCAATGGCTTGATCACATCATAACACACACACACACACACACACACACAAACTAGACAGTTATTCCTTAACAGAACTTAGATCACTACATTGTGAGTGAATTATATTGAATAGAACTCAAATTCCGTGTCATTGCTAGCAAATTCGGATATGTAGCGGAAATGAGTTGTAATCGCCAATAATATTATTGATTAAATGTAGCGGTAATATTAATCACCCGAAATTTCGAAGAAATGTAGCGGTAATGAGTTGAATTTTTTCGCAATGTAGCGGTATGTTGACCTCCCGAGGTTCAAACCTTGATATCAATCACCTGTTATCACTCTGTTGGAGAAGGGGTCAATTTTTATAGGACGCACATATAAAAATATGACCCCTAGGGCTCTTTTTCTACAAAAAAAAAATTTTTTTCTACGGCTGGGGAGTCATTTTTTGTCGTTGAAAAATGCCCCTCCGGTCATTATTCTATGGGGGTCATTATTCGTCTTTACGCCTGGTTTAATTGCATGAGGTGCCCTTCTGGGACACCTATATAGATCTTTTTGTATTTTGATATTACAAGTGCTTTATATCTTATAGAGCTAGAGTATTAATTATAAAAAGAATACCTTATGTGGAATTCAACAAGTATTAATTTTTCGACTGAATAAAATCCGTTCCTAAATCCTGTCTAGACCCCCACCCCTCCCTTTGTATGCGATTTCACTCATGAATAATTACATATACTAGTTTCTTAGAAGAAAAAAATTCTCATGTTTATATGTGTCAAAACGATTAAGGTTATTTATAAAAAATTTAGTTTTTTTTTTAAAGATTATTTGGAAACTGAATTTGACGCACGCGACGTCATTACGTTTTCAGTAAGGAACGTCAACGTTGTTTTGAAAATGCTCATTAATTCTGAAAAAGAAAGGTATTTTAAAAATTGATGTATATTTTTTATTCAGAAAGAGTTAGGCTATCAAAATTTACCAAAAAGTTAATTTGTGAAATTTTGACCTTACGGGCCCTTTTCTCATGACGACAGTCATATATATATATATATATATATATATATATATATATATATATATATATATATATATATATATATATATATATATATATATATATAAAATATATAATATATATAATATAATATAATATAATATAATATATATATATATATATATATATATATATATATATATATATATACTCAGTAATGTCTTTTCTAAAATATCGTCTATTGTCTTTCGTTGAAGTGATGGTGAATTCTTCCTTAGATGATTCTCTGCATTTTTTTTGAAATTCCTGTAAAATAAATTCTCTTTGATAAATAATGTAAGATATGGATAAGCTATCATGATTTAAAGGAATATGTATGATTTATAATTACCTCGTCGATAAGCTTTTGATTTACACTGAAGAACATGTTGGAGTAACCATTTAGTGTCATCATCTGTTTGTCAGTTATTGCTATTACTCCTCCAAGCAGTCCTCTATATGGTAAGCTGTTAATATAATTCACGGTGTTTGATGTTTTGAGCAATTATTTTCAAAGATGTTCCTCGTAAAGAATGCATTGACATATTCAAGAGATAATAATTACTCACTTTTAATAAAACAGTGCTAAAATCAATGTAAGTTAGTTTTACATTTATTTTAGTGATTGAAAAAGTTCTAGATTTAA